AAGCTTTACACGAATTATTTGCAGACTATAAACCATCGCTCCCATTTAACGAAGACCCACGGAATTTATTTACACGGAATTTATCAACATCGAAAGAAAATAAAGGTGCATCACTTTGTGCCCTTTCGCTTGTGACCAGTCATAACTAATAGCTGCTCACCACATGGGTTGTTCAGCTGAAAGAAATGATAGCCAACGCACATGCAATTTTGCGCAGATACTAAACAAGAAATGCAAACAATTTCAATCCGAATGATCTGTTTGTGTGAAGTGACGTCCTCGAAGTATGATTCGAAAATACAATTTTGTATCCTGCTCTTGGTTGTTTAGATGATGACTCAGATGAAATAGGACAACATACGGAATGAGCACATTTTCTTTAGGATGGAGCGTTTTTTTCAACTTACTCTCCAACTTAAACTTGTGCAGGTGTGAAAATGACAAATTTCACGACTCTGGTACCGATCCAAGTTCAGTTGCGGAAGATATCGCCTATAAGGCAAGGCTTTAAAAAAATTCTAATTTTATCCTCGTAGATTTTGAAGCATTAGACTTAGCACTTTAAGATTTTTGCCAAAACGTGAGCGTTTTTCGTTCGCTTATATAAATAATTGTATGCATATTTTCTGTATTGCTATAAACTAGGAAGAAAAGTAATGCAAAATATAAAAAAATTTACTAAATAAACTTCGGGGAATGTTTAGGAGCAAATTGTAGTTTTGAAACTAGTGTATACCTTGACGTTTTGATTATTTATAATCACCAGCCTTTGTTATAAGTAAGTTAAGAGAGTCTATGTTACGGCTTTGGTCTATTTCAGGAGCCAAAATTCAACAGATTACATGCCAGAAGTATACTGACTTGCCTTCTCTCACTTCATTACATCTTAACACATATCATGGGAAGTAGTATTCATTATTCACATTTCACGAGAAGTTATGTATAATTTTTGCAAATTCGTTCTATGCAAAAAAATAACTACGCGAATTAATAAATTTACGCAAAAAATAACCTCGGACCTGAATTTATAGTCTGAAAATGCATTGTGTTTGTAAATGTCGTTAAAATTATAGAGTACTACGACTAATGTATTTTTAGCGCATTTTCTCATTTATGGAAAAAATATAACTCAGTACCACCAGGTAGGGTGGCCCGGTGGATAAGTTCAGAGATTGGAGCAGAGAGGCGCGGGTTCGATCCCAGCTCTGTGCGCCAGTTTCTGGTCAGAATCGGCAAGGAGGCCGGGCGGTTGAGCACAGCAGAATTGTTGCAGTGAGTTGCGAGTTCGAGACCGCAAAATGCTGTGAATGTTCTGCGATGTTAAGAATTGGCGACAGGCCTACGGCCTAATAAACGCTGAAACCGCTATTATTATTATTATGTATTATTATTATTATTATTATTATTATTATTATCACAGTACTCACTGCAGTGAGTGACAGAGAGCGCATTTTCTCGTCGACGAAAACTTGAGGTCACTGACGGACGGACAGACAGACAGACGGACATGGCGAGCATAATAGTGCATTTTTTTTCATAAATGAAAAAAGCGCTAAAAAGGAGCTTTTGTGCTCACCATTTCCGTCCATCCGTCCGTCTACCTGTCGTCCGTGACTTCATGTTTTCGTCGACGGGAAAATGCACTCTCTGTCACTCACTGCAGCGAGTACTGAGCTATAATTTTTTAGCAATGACGTTGAAGAAGTAGTGAAAAATTTCCCAAATGTTAAATAAATTGCATTAACCACAGAATTTGCATCGGTATCGACGAACTATGGAGTTCTTTTGTAACAATAATCCACGTGGTTTTTTCATAGATGCTCGTACAATTATTTCCTAATTTAAAAACAACTGATTTCCCGAACGTAAAATTATAACAGTCTCTGATTATTTATTACACTTTTTTACATTTCATGGACATGATTGCATGTAGGCTTCAAGTTATGACTAATTTTTTCAAATTCGTTTCATGGACTTTTGAATTTTATAATTACACGAAAAATAACATAAATTAAACCCGAAGCAATAATATGGAAAAACATTGCTCTTGGAAATACCATTAAAATTTTAGTTTATCCATACCTAGGTGTTATTTAAAGTCCACTATTAGGAGCTACAGTATGCAAATTATATCAGCATCAACATTGAAAATGATCGCCTATGTAAGGCAAACTAAAAATTCAGGTAGGGGCTAACATATAGAATTGCAGCAAAAGACCTATGAGAAGGAAAACATCTCCAGCAATGACGTGAAAGAAATGGTAAGAAAAAACTCCTACAAATTTTCAAAGAAATTACATCAACCACAAAATTTACTTTAGATGAAGCAATTTCTATGAAATCTAGCTGTCGCAAAAGTTACTTCGATGATATATATCTAGCGGTCGCAATTTTGATTTCATATCATTGTGATGTGCTCTGAATGGTTTTAGAGCAAGGTTGACCTTGTTATCAATCCATAACATGTGTGATTTTTTAACAAAATTCGACAGATTTTTTTCTTAAATACTCGCACAATTATTACCTAATTTAGAAACGATTGATTTCACAGACCTGAAATTATTAGTTACTGCTCAGGAAAATGTGAAAACACTGCATTATTATTTAGATTAATTTCATATATTTATAGGGCAAAAAATTAATCTATATATGTATGTTAATTTTTTCCCTGATCAGTGACTGTAATAATTATACGTTCGTGAAATCAGTAAATTCTACATTAGATAATAATTGTACGAGCATTTAAAAAAACACGTGGATTTTTGTTACAAAAAATCGATGTTATGGCTAATGCAATATCTCTAAAATTTTGGTGAATTTTTCACCACTTATTCAACGTCATTGCCGAAAAACGCTCTTCAGAAAGGTTTCTTGTATCAATTTTGTGTTAGCGCCATTTAAACTATGAGTTTAAAATCTATTTCAAGTTTAATGTTAATTTATTTCGCATACTGTAGTTCCTCAAAGTACTTTACATTAGTCGTAGTACTCTATAATTTTAATGGCATTTACAAACACTATGCTTTTTCAGACTATAACTTCAGGTTCGACGTTATTTTTTGTGTATTTTTTTTTTTTTGTGTTTTTTTTTTTTTTTATTCGACTTTTTTGAAAAATATTTTTTTCATCTCTTGTCATGTGATTTGTGTATTGTCTTTTCCTTGCTATGTTTTGTGTTGTGATGTCATGAGATGAGCGAAGTCAATTTACTTTTGTTCTGTGATTTGTTGTGTTTTGTTTTGTGTCATGGACTAGAGCGTTGTTGTATCGTCTCTTTTCTTTTCTTTCTTTACTTAGGGTTGTTGTTTGGAAAAAATAATCAGAGCCCCAAGGTATGTTTTAATATCAAACATGTAATGCTCTACAAAACATTTTTTAAGTGTTTTCTACATTCCGATATGTAGGTTTTGCAAGGATTTTTTCCAATTTTGTATCATTTTTCTTCATGGTTAATGACAGTTAGTAAAATATGTCTGACAATTTTTTTACATTTGCGAATGTATGTGTAAAAAGCTAACGTCTTGGCCACCGTTCCAGAGTGCTAAGTCTATTACTTCAGAATTTTACGTGCATATAACTACAAAGTATTTTTCGAGGTGTGCTTTATATAGCCGCACAACTGCCGCTGATGAACTTGAACTGTTACAAAACTCGTGAAATGTTACGTATTGTTTGAAAAAAGTTTGGAGGCGATACATGCTATTTACTAATTTGCTATAGAATCAGGAACTAGAATTAGATTGCAGAATTTCTTTGTTTATTTTTTTCCATTACTATAGTCAGGGAATACATTTGCTAATAATTTTCAAGGAATCGAACCCCACCAGACACTTAGAATAGAAGAATAGAATAGAAGTTTCGGCGCTGAAGAAATAGGCCCATGGCCTGTTGCCGATTCTTGAACTTTTCGTGACTTGATTCACAAGGGATCCGGCCTTTGGAACCCGATCTTTCCATAACTGACGCTTGATTGAGATAGCTGCTGGACTTATTGCCTGCTCCGTAATTTGCTAGGCATTTTAAGACTGAACAAAGCTTCTGCATAGCTAGCTTCGTCTAGTCTGTTCTTGAAGGCGTTCATAATCGGAGCGTCAACGATGGAACGTCGAATCAACGTTTCATTAAATGTAATGCTGAATAAACGTTAATTAAGCGTTTTTTCAACGTCATTTGCCTGGTGGGTGATTCTTCGAATTGTGTTGGTAGATCATGAGGCAGGTCTCAGAAAGTAATTTCAACATATTAACGACGTTTACAATGCAACAACATTCATTTTCTAAAATATCATAAAACATTCGTTGTTAGCCGAAATAGTTCCAAAATTTTTATTCTTTGCCTTCAGAGTTTTTTATACGTAATGCTAACATTGTATTCAGTTCAGAAGCTCGGTCATATAGTGCGTATTGATAATAGTTTGAACGCATCAGCTGAAAGTTTTTTTTTCATATTCCTTTGAATTATTTCGTGTTCCATGCAACATGAAACATGTCTTGGATGCATATCAAGGCTGTATAGATTTCCTAACCCATTGAAAATGTTTTCATTCATCACATATGAAAAATCTTTTTACAGTTCTAAATTCATCATGGAAGACCTAAAAATTCATTGAAATGTGCAGCTTAATTGACGTAAGCAAAGGAATACATATTTCTCCATAGCCCTTTTATGACGCAAATTGACCAGTAAAGCATTGAATCAAAAGCCAAAAATTTGTAATAAAATACAAAAGACTAGATAAATGACATTCCAAAAAAATGACATTCCTAGATTAATGACGTCGAATTGTTCAGAAAATTGCTGTGAGTGCGCCCAACTGAAGGTAAAGTTCTTCAATAGTTTCATTGCAGCCGTTCGGTCCATTAAACAGATTGATGGCTTACACATGAATAGAAACCTTTGAGAACCATTGCAACTATTTCATCTCACTCAAGGTTGCGTCATACTCGAGCATAGTATAAAACCTGGTGGTTCTCCGATGGCAGACATCACAGTCTTCTCATCGTGGCCAATATGAAGTCCCTGCTTGTTGTGTGCACCTTGGTGGTGATGGCTGGAGCGCTGCCGGCACTGCTTGATGAGGCGAGTCTTTGAGAAATTGTTCCTTTGTGAATGCTGACTTGATTTATTTAAAATTACAAGTAGTTATTGATGACATTATTTGATGGAAACTACATTTTAGTGTTTGTGGTTCATTTTAATTTATTTAAACCACACGAACAATGTCCGATATTATTGTAAGCAATGATCGAGATTTCTTCATTTGGGCACTATATTGCAACTAACTGCAATTATATTTAATTTCACAGCGAAATTTCTCATTGTTGAGCGTGTTTAATTTGATAATATTTGTATCTATGAAACCCTGCAGATATCTCCTCTCATTCTTGAGATGAACATCCATTTACCTCCGCTTATCAAATGTACAACGATGTTTGACGACGTTCCGTTCTTATCTGCCTAGGTCCCCAAAGATGGAGAAGTCGCGGATGATTTGAACCACTTTGATGCCCGCAACCTCACCGACGACGAGCAGCTGGCTTTGGATCGCGAACTTATGGAGGTGAAAGTGGTATATAAATCATGCAGAGGCACATTTCACTCTTAATTATTCAATGCAAAAAAAAATAAAAACTTTACCAGTATAATATTTTCGGGTTCAGTGGCCTCTGTTTGTGAGAAATGTTTATAAGCTATTCTGAGATTTACAGACTGTTGATTACACTGCGTAACAAAATTAAAATCAATTTCTGTTGAGATACAATTTTTGCTGTTTTTGGAAGAATAGTGCATCCTGATTTCAAAACTGTTCTTAGTTTTCTTCTATCACGTTACGTTCGTTTTCCATGTGCCGATTCATTTTGTTACAAATGTGGTGGTTTTACCATATCTGTCAAATGACAAACATCAGTATCTTTGTCAGACGAGTATATTTTGCCTTTTTAAAATTGAAACTTGGTGATCCAAGATAAAGCATTGGCATCTCATAATGTGTGTGAAAGTGTGTTGAGGGCTTATGGAAGTGGAGCAAGGAAACACATGCTAAACTTCCATTTAATTTCCATTAAACTTCCAAAATAATGATTTGGCGCGAGCCCAAGATCATTCAAGTGATGGTTTTTGTACAATGAAAACATCAGGATATAACAAGAAAAACAAATTTATCCTTGTTTACCGTCAGCTACATACGTCCATTCAGCCAAAATACCCGTGTCACTTTTCAATGAATTTCCTTCTTTGGAAGAAGAGGAATACGGATCTTGTGCAGATGAAAGCAACTCTAACGTTGAGGATTTCGAAATTGAACATAATTCCCACGTAAGGAATTCGAGCAGCATGAGCTAAATAATTTGGTCCGAGATTTGGAACTACCCAAAAAAGCATCTTAGTTCTCAGCATCACGACTCAATGAGAAAAACTTGCTTGGAAAGGGAGCCAAAGTATCTTATTTTCGAACATGAGAAAAGGCACTTTTGCAATACTTTCAAAGTGATGGTGGATATGAGTTATGTCATAATGTAAGTGGTCTAATCGGAGAATTGGAAATTTCATACTATAACGCAGCGTTTATAGAAAGATCAGAGCGGAGCTTGACGTGTGTTCTCGACAATGGAAATTTATTTGGTTCGATTCCAATTGACCATGCATTCAGGTTGTTCGCGTGAAAAATATGCTGACGTAAAGAAATTCATTTTTGTGTTTGTGGGACAGCATAACTCGTGCACAACATTGGGTGTAGTCGAATATTCACCGCAAAGACTTGACCGACCAGAGACTGTTTCATGTATCTTGTGTCGAAAATTTCCTAGCCTGTCATCTGAAAAGTTAATGGCCTGTGCCTTTGATGGTCCACAAATTTGACAGCTTCTTGGAAATGAACATTTCTTAGTAACGATGACAGAAATTGAAAATAATAGTTGGTCAGCATTCAAAAACATTGTTAGACTTTCCTGGCAATACACGAGCATTAACTTACGCCAACATTGTCCAACAACTCTTGGAGAGCTTCCAAAAGCTAGGTTCAGCATGAGAATTAAATTTCATTTTTCACATAACAAACTTGTTAATTGGAGCTGGGAGCTCAATTAATTAAGATTTAAACAGCAGGTTTAGTTTCTAGTTATGCGTATTTATGACCCCTTATCGAGTTATTGACTCTTGCCTTGCCAAAAATTGATTTCAGTCAACACCAATGAGCCAAAAGTTGATGAGTTTTTATGGTGTTGGCTGAAATCACGATTACGTACGAATTCTCTGCACATAATCTCTGGATTACGGACGAAACTGGAACGACGTTTCTTTTCTGATCAACTAAATATATTTTTTCTAGTCAAGGATACATTTTTTCATGTTTAGGACGACTTTTTTATCGCAAGGATATATTTTTCAAGTCAAGGATATATATTTTTATGTCAATGAAATATTTTTCCGTGATATTCAGTGATAGATTTTTTAAGCCAAGAGTATATTTTTTTCAAGGTAAGTATATGATTTTTTGAGTTGTTAATAAATAAGTGAATGTCATATTTTTTATTACATTTTCTTATTTTTAAGTGTAAAGTGTTTTTTTTCATTTTTAAACGAAAAATATGCATTTGTGGTAAAGGGACCAAGGGTGGGCGCCTTGCTCCGAGCCCATGGGCCCATTGCCCCAGGGGTGGGGCAATGGGCCCATTTTGACACTTTTACAAAATAGTGTTTCATTAAAAATTGAATAAACATATAGGCGTCTAATTCACATCATATATTCCTCATTAGTTGTACCTTTAAACAAAACCAAGAACCACCTCGTACCAATTAGAACTTAATAAAAAATTTAGCTTAAAAAAGGGGTGGGGCGCGCTGCCCCATGTTACCCTACTGTGATGGCTGGCTATTGTTGAAGCACTAGTAAACGCTTTATTTGATACGTTTTACTACGTTTTTACTATATTCCCATTAATGTATTTTTTTACGATACTCTAAAATATCATGTAGTCTAAAAAATTGACGTGATGGATCAAATCTGAGGTTATTCTCAGATTCTGACGCCAAAAATTTGTGAAAACCAAGTGTCAGATCTAACTTAGCAAAAAATATGTTCCCAAAGTTATTGACTGCAGTCTTTGTAGCAACTAAGTTTCCTTTGCTTTATATTTTTCCACTTATGTTCTTCGAGTGACCATTTATGCACTCAGCTTTTCTGAGGTCAAAAATGTTATAGTTCATAAAGGTTTGATGCCATTTTGGCTTTTCATCTCGACTGGAACGCGAAGCTCACATTTTATTGAAAAAAATATAACTCAGTACTCACTGCAGTGAGTGACAGAGAGCGCATTTTCTCGTCGACGAAAACATGAAGTCACGGACGGACAGACAGACGGACGACGGACATGGTGAGCACAATTGTGCATTTTTTCCATAAATGAGGAAATGCGCTAAAAAGAGCATAAATTCAAATCATTGTACCTATTACATCTTAATCCGGATTTCCAGTCTACACGCCGCCTCCTAGAGAACCCAGACCTGTACCAAGGCGACATTCTGCTCACGGAGGAGCAGAAAAGAGCTCTTGAGGAGCGCAAAGTCATCGCCAACAGCGCCCTTTGGTGGCCAGCTGCTGCAGACGGCTACGTCTATGTCAACTATCGCTTCGCCACACGTAAGACTTGACTTTATAGAGATGACTACCACTTAAAAGCGGCGTACCGAGTCCAACAACCGTTATAATTTATCTTTTATGAAAATGATTTGAATCAGCCACATATGCCAACAGGCCATGACTCCTTTAGCTTTGCAAAAATGTCTGAGTACGCTGCCGTTCTTGAAAAAATGTCTGAGTCTGTGTCTTGAAATGTCTGAGTCTGCTGCCGATTCCACCACTCGTTATTATTTATTTTGCATGGTGAACCAGAATTAACTGACCCTTTTAATTTGTTAATAAATAAAAAACTAAGAACGTTATGAAGTTGAAACTTGTTTTATTTAAAAGAAGAACATTTTTATGGTAATATTGTATCCTAGTTTTTAGGATACAATAACTAACTAGGATACAATATTACATACAATATTTTAACTAATACATATTATTAATACATCATAAATATATTAACTAATACAATAATAAAATATTGTAATAGGATACAATATTTTAACTAGGATACAATATTACCATAAAAATGTTCTTCTTTTAAATAAAACAAGTTTCAACTTCATAACGTTGTTAGTTTTTTATTTATTAACAAATTAAAAGGGTCAGTTAATTCTGGTTCACCCTGTATAATATTTATTGGAATATTACTTAGAGAATAATACTTTTGAGAATATTACTTAGCTAATACGGAGATTTAACCATTAGAGATAGCGACGAGCATTGCTGATTAATTAGTATCACTTCACTAATGCATTATAGAGTTGCTGAACTAAATAGAACAAACCTAAAATCTCATTTTCAGCATGCTGGTTTAATAACTCTTCAACTGCTCACTGAAAGTGTAAAATATGTTATTTGATTTACAAATAATCTATGAAACATATCTTCAACGTTCCTCAAACTTCATTCCTGTTTCGATTATACCTGGAGAATCAATTAATAAATGATCTTAATGGGATGAATTTGCACTATAAAAATATGTACACACGAATATTCAAGTGTACATATATTCAAATTTTCAAATAAAAAACATGCTCACTCACAAATATTCAAACCATTTTGCATTAAGTTATGTTTGTTTAGTCAATCAACCGAACTAACTTCACTTAAGTTTGCGCGTTCAAATAAACGTTTATTGAAAAAAGTATTTCCTGATATGAATAGAAGTCTTCCTGTAATAAATGTTTCGGAAAATATTGCTCCATTTACAGTATTTTTATTATTATTTAGTAGGCTTTTTTTGTGAAGTGCGAGAATTGACTTTAGCTACAATGATTTACTTAGTTGGTATAATAATTTTTCGTATTTATTGTTAAATATATTCTGAAAAGATGTACTGAAAAGAAAGACAGAAGCTGGGATAATCGGTTAGAAATCTGGACAGGGTGGCCCAGTGTTTTTACAGTTCAGAGTACCAGGATTGGAGCAGAAAGGTGCGGGTTCGAGCCCAGCTTTGTGCACCAGTTTCTAGTCAAAATTGACAAGCAGTGAGTTGCGTGTTCTAATCAGCAACAAGCTGTGAATGTTCTGCAATTTTACGAATCAGCAACAGGCCTACGGCACAATAAATGCTGTAACCGCTAAATTAATATTATATTAAGCGATTAAGTTCATCACGAACTATTGAATGCTAGGGCGTATATATATAGCCTGGGAAAAATTCAGTCTTATTTGATCAGGTTGATTATATTTCCAATGTTGGCAGAATAGCACTCAGTGAAAACGTTAAAGTTGTATTGTACGTTCATAAGTTTAATTTGGATGAAATCTTTCATACAAAGTTTCCAGACGCTCCCCTTAACACGTGATAGTAATAAAACGTATAATAATAAAAGTTTATATCCAACTTAATTGAAATTATTCACATACTCTTCCAGCCACTATCGCCAAGACGTTGGTGCTGCAAGCAATCAACACGTGGCAGGCCGAAACATGCGTCAGGTTCACCGATATTCAAAGTGCGAACGGCAAACCTCATCTCGTCTTCCAGAACGACAACTCGGGCTGTAACAGCTTCGTCGGTAGACAATCTAATATGAATGGACAACCAGTAAATCTTGCGCCAGGTTGTTTGACTGAGGTAAGAGCGTATCATGTAGCCAAATGGGGGAGTGTCTTTTTTCAGTCATATAATTAGTTGGAGGAATTTCACTTTGTGGCCTTCTTTTTAGTACTATATAGTTTATTTTTGTAACCACATGTTTGTTTAGGGTAACTTATTTAGTATGCAAATGTTTTAGTCAAAAGTTTTTCCTGGTGTTGGCTTGGATCCCATATAAACATAAATAATTTTCATGGCATTTGACGGTCCAATGCATTTATTTACCTTGCATCATATATAATGATAATTGATAATTGTTTGGTTGCAGTTCTATTTGATCCATTCCCGCATGAAAATATGCCCAAATTTCACTATACACAATTTTTTTAATTTTACAGGTTAATACTCCTATTCATGAAATTGGTCATGCTTTGGGTTTCGAACATGAGCACAACCGCTCCGACCGAGACAACTTCGTTTACGTAGTGCTAGCCAACGTTCAGCCAGGCTTGGGTTACGCTTTCGACAAGGCAGTAACGAACAACTTCAACATCCCGTATGACTATTCATCGGTGATGCAATATTATTCAACGGTGAGTCGTGAATTGAAACTCTATAATGCATATGTACGAAGTGTTTGAATGAGTGTGTCGTAGTTTATTGAATCGTCCTTTTTTTGTGAGATCTTAATAAGAACATGAAAATCTCACTCCGGAAATTGTGGTAGTGGAGAATCGATCGACATTTTTCTTTGATAATCATCTGCCGCAAAACGTGTGTATTTGTCATATGAAATTTTATGAAGCATAAAAGGTATTAAAACTAATAAAATCAGCGAGCACACGACTAGCAGATTAATATTACCATGATTTATTATGTATGATAATTAACGTGATAAATCTTGCGACCCATTAGTATTATTAGTTTGATTTTACATTGTATTAATTAGTGAAATGTCAGTTTTATCCTTCATTTTGCATCCAAATCATGGAGATGGCATCACGGGGAAATAGAAATTTTATTCGCGTTTTAAATTTCGGAAAAAATGATTGTTTTTGAGCTATTTCATTTTTATGCTTAAACCTAACTTTGCGACACTCTGAGATTCCAACTCTAAAGATTCATGTCTCCATAGTATCAAGATACAGCTGATGTTGTGGATACCATCTCGAATATCCTCAGTTTGTTCTCAGTGACAGGGCTCCAACGGCATAAAGAAATAAAAAATTTTTGTGTGAAAAAACTGTGTACTTGCCCATCACTAGCAATTTTTTCATTTAATTGTTATGGCTGCAAGCAGAAATGCTTTCATTTCAAATTTTGCGGCGAAATTTCTATCAATTAACAAATAAAATGATTTCAAATGTAATATAGAGATTTCCTGATTTTTCAACATACTTTAAATTGATGTCATAAGATCTCATCGCTGGGTCATTACCAGACACTATTTTTGATTGCGCCCTTCAAAAATTTCTGCCTAACTGTCTTGACAAAAATTGGAAGCCCAAATATTTCTTTTTGATTAACACAGTTAGTTGTGCTTGAGATTTTAATTCGTGAATCCACCTCTCTTCAATAGTTCTTTCCAACAGGCTTTTTCCGTGAACAACAAAGAAACAATGGTTGCAAAGGAACCGTTTGGGCAACTTTTCTTGAATTTGAATACACTCAACAACTTTTCATTCATGGACAAGAGGATTGCTAACCTCCAGTACAAATGCATTGGTTAGTATTGCTCTAAAATAACTATTTCGCTCTCAATTCTCAGGTATCCTAACTAATAACTAATTAAAATCTTCGAAGCAGATTCATTCTTTCTGATAAGTGACACTTTATATTATTCACAAAAAGTTTTAATTTTTGAATATGCTTGAAAGTGGGGAACAATCAACTATGGAGGTAGTCGGTTCTGAACATCCCATTGTCGCCTTACATATCACGCGTTCCTGCGGTCTGTGACAGCACCTTAATTATTTCAAGGAGATATTAAAGCCGTTTGAATTTCTTGCGTATTTCCGTTTTGTTCTTTGTTAAAGCCTATAAAAAACCTGGAAAATTATCGCTTTTCTGATATTTCATCTCCATTGTTAATTGTGACGTTTTATACCCGGTGTCCCCAAAAAAAACTATATTCAAATTTGAATGGCTGTTACTCGAAAAGTAATAGAGTTTAAAAATTTTTGAAGGTCAGGATTTGTTTCCTATGTTTTTTTCCATCTCTCCGCCAAAAATCAGACAGATCGATATGTAACCATAAGTGTTTGATGAAACTTTCAGTGACATGTGCTAAAATCGTGCTTGCGCAAAGTTTTAGTAAGATCATTTTGCATAATCATTACATTGTCTTGACATGTTTTCTTTTTTTTATTTTTTTTATCTTTGGTGAGAGACAATCATGTCAATCTTTGGTGATATAAACATGGCAATCTTCGATGAGAGGCAATCATGGCAATCTTTGGTGAGACACAGTCATGGCAATCTTTGGTGAGACACAATCATGGCAATCTTTGGTGAGAGAAAATCATGGCAATCTTTGGTGCGAGACAATCATGGCAATCTTCGATGAGAGGCAATCATGACAATCTTTGGTGAGATACAATCATGACAATCTTTGGTGAGACACAGTCATGGCAATCTTTGGTGAGACACAATCTTGGCAATCTTTGGTGAGAGAAAATCATCAATTTCAAAACCAAAGATTGCCTCTCACCAAAGATTGCCTCTCACCAAAGATTTCCATGATTGTCTCTCACCAAAGATTGCCATGATTTTATCTCATCAAAGATTGTCATGATTGTGTCTCACCAAAGATTGCCATGACTGTGTCTCACCAAAGATTGTCATGATTGTCTCTCACCAAAGATTGTCATGATTGCCTCTCACCAAAGATTGACATGATTGTCTCTCACCAAAGATTGCCATGATTTTCTCTCACCAAAGATTGCCATGATTGTGTCTCACCAAAGATTGTCATGATTGCCTCTCACCTAAAATTATCATGATTGTCTCTCACCAAAGATTGTCATGATTGCCTCTCACCAAAGATTGCCATGTTTTTGTCTTACCAAAGATACAAAAAATAAAACAGCGGAAAGAAAACATGTCAAGACAACGTAATGATTATGCAAAATGATCTTACTGAAGCTTTGGGCAAGCACGATTTTAGCATATGTCACTGAAAGTTCTATCAAACGTTTATGGCTACATCGATCTGTCTGATTTTTGGTGGAGAGATGGAGAAAAACATAGGGAATAAACCCTGACCTTCCGAATTTTTTAACTCTATCACATTTCGAGTTACAGCCATTCAAAGTTGAATATCGTATTTTTTGGGACACACTGCATAGTGTTGTTCCCATTGTTGGATGTCTGATAACTTTTCTGATTATAAAGGTTCATGGATTTTTGCAGTATAATTACGTTATTATAATTAGAATTTTCAACAATAAAATCAAACCACATCATCCTGAAATTATTTATTAATTCAATTTTGGTGTTTGTAATAACATTTTGATGTTTGTACATAGCCTTAAACCTGAAGAAGTGCGGTGTGGCCGCTGATCCCTGCAAGAACTACGGCTACTTCGGAACCTCTTGCAAGTGCGTGTGTCCGCCTGGAACTTCTGGAACCAGCTGTGAAACTTTGAATCAACCATACCTCCGTAAGTATTTGTTAGGAAAGATTCACTGCATGTCGAAATAATACTTTAATGCAGTCATTCTTGTTATCCGGTATGTGGTTGTTGTAGTTAAAAAGTACGGGAAGTAATTCCATCTTTTCAACATGCAAGTTAAGTTTAGTTTATTCGGAGTTACCAGTACCTAAGAATCGTATAAAGTGACATAACAAATACTTCTAAATGCTCACACTTTTGAATGAAGTTTTACTGATGAAAATTGGTCATCATTTGCTCTCCTCAGAAGCCTTGGTTGCGGCGAAATATCCACGCAGTAAAACAATAGTAGCTGAGGGACGAGTCACTTCGACGGGCTATCCATCACCCATCGCCGCAAGTAGGTCCAAGTGACTAAAAATATAAAAGACATAACTGTACAAACTTATGGCAGAGTCATGAATGTATCAAATTTTCTTAGAGTCTGTCATAATGCTGAACAGCTGCCCATATTTCTTTTGAAACGTCGCTCCAGCAACTATTTGCTCACAAATGGATTGTATAAAGGAGAATGGCTTCGCTACAATCATCAAGTGTCCATGACCGGAGTCATGTATGAACGAATTAAAAATCGTAATACAAAGTATTATCACTTTTTTTATCTTAATGCTCTTGTTTTTTTCACATCAGAGGATGAGTACATCCAGCTGATAAAGGCACCGGCGTGCAAAAAAGTTCGACTGACTTTTACAGCCTTCAAATTGACCCAACGCGCGACCGATAAAACCTGCTATCCCCAACAGTTAACCATACGAAAAAATAACAATCTCGTCATCGCATCATCGTGAGTCCCTGATATTTTTTCCTTGAAATTGTATATTGCATAATGGTTTTTTTTATAAATGTTTAATTATCACCGTTGCTCTGCACAAGTGTCCTTTTCAATCAGCCTCCATAAAAAGGCAAATGTAATAGTTTTTCATTTGCCTTATGAGTATTTGTAAGAATGTTATCCGCACTACTGCGCGGAATAGTACCTGTTGTAAGGCCTAGCCAGTCAAGTTAGAGCACTTTGTCTCTGGTGTCCCTGTGAGGCTGACTGAGCTATTATAGGCTGCAGTACGCTATCCTCGGGTACGAGTGAATTTGGATTAGTGCTCTTCAAGAAGTGTCCATGAATTGTATTTTGGTTTATTGAATTATCTTTCTGTATTGTGCATTTCGACATGTATTTATTTGTGTCATTTATTTACCTCGGCAGGACAGAGCGAAGTCCCTCTTCTCTCTGTAGTCTCTCTGTAGTTTAATAGTCTAATGATGATCGCGATTCTAAACTGATGGATTTCTTGAATAAATATAAAATTTTTTTATCTATAAACTGAACCCGTCATCATCACAGTATTCCATCTCCATCGATTTATTCTATAAAGTTTTTTCAGCACGTTGACTTAGAAGTGGTAGATGTGAGTAACACGAGGTTTATTTCTCCAATAGATCGTGGTAAATATATATATCTCTTTTCAATTATTTCAATACTTTCTTTCAAAATAGATTTTACTTTACAATATATAGTTCTGATTTACAGGTATTAACACATTATACACACATATTATTCCGGTAGCATAATGCTCAGGACCAATGAAAAATCAACATAAATCCTCAATTTGTGTATTTCATAATAGTACAAAAAATGAGATAATAGTACAAGACGAAGCAATCGGAGTCGACGTGTTGAATCGATGTATTTGCCTATACACATCGGTTGGATAAGGAGTAATTAATTAATTAATGACCCCTTTTGGCGCTGTTTGGTCGCCTCCAGTCAACTTGACATCGGTGTTTGAGGACTGTAAATTTAGCTGTGCAAGAGTGTTGAAGCCCTCAGTTTGAGATACTTTATCAGTCATCATCAATTATGTGTTTGAAGACTGATTTATTCATGTGATTTACTACTATATTTCTACCCGACGACTTAACAATAACATCGATCGGGTTCCATACTATACTTACGATAAGTCGACGAATGTATTATTGAAAGACGAAATGAATCGTGTATTTTTCAGATACTGTGCCAGTGAAATCGCCCCCGGTCAAGTGATCGAAAGCGAGGGAACCACAATGGTTTTGCACTTCAAATCCTTTACAACTGCACCATCTCCAGGCTACTCCGCCACTATCACCTTCGTGCCCCAAGCATCTTGGTAATTGTTATGCTACATAATTTCTGTATGTTCATAATTATAAAGCTTCATGTACTTTTTAAGCATTTCATGATATATCGGGATGTTCTGATGGGATTGATGTAATATTTAAATGCTATAATAGGAAGGTTTATTGTGGAGTACGGGACTTGCGTCTTAAAATCCCAACTTGAACTAGGGAATTAGTTAAATTTATCATACGTGGAAGCAGGCTGTAAAAATTGCGGGTATGTCATGACATTAAATCATAATATACACGACTTTATATTTTAAAGACACATTTTTCTGGAGAGGAAATATTAAGAGCTTCAGAAGAAAATATATGTGGAAAAAAAGGGTTTGAACATTGAATTTTTAATAATGAGTTTATTTTAAACATTCATAAAATGAATGTTTTTATATTATGTAAAAATATATAGATAATATTTAAATTAATATTGTTATTCATATATAAATTAAATTTAGTGTAAATATAAATTTTCATAAATTTCTTAATGAATAGTGCGAGTTCAATTCTAAATTAAAAAGTATCGACCTGTTGTAATTCTGAAAAAATTTACGTGCTATAACTAACGATATCTTTTTTTTGCAGCACTGGCCGCTAGTAAATTCATGTGAATGCATCGGCATGCCGTATAACATTGGGCTCTGATGACATCTTACATAGGGAGGCGTGCACTGCCTGTTGTATGCCATCAAAAATAATTCACTCAACAAGCAAAAACTTGTTTCATTACCCAAATGATTTATCATTCGTCTACTTGGTTAAACATGCATGAGAACAATAATAATAAAAATAATAATAATAATAATATCGTTATACCGTAAAAGTAGAGCTTATTGTATTTTATTTTCTCGACAAGTTTTCTATATGAGAGAAAACAACGGAGGCGGATTCTCTGAAAGCATTCTCTCATTTAATTAACGTTGAATTATTCTTTCTTCGCTCAAATTGAACCCCTTATTTCCTTTGAAATTTAAGCAACCTCATTCTGGTTGATNCTGTCTCTTATACACATCTAGATGTGTATAAGAGACAGGAGTGACAGAGAGCGCATTTTCTCGTCGACGAAAACTTGAGGTCACGGACGGACGGACAGACAGACGGACAGACGGACGGACGGACGGGCATGGCGAGCACAATAGTGCATTTTTTTCATAAATGAGAAAATGCGCTAAAAATTGGCAAATATCCTAAAAAAAACTTCATTGAAAAAAGTGATCAAGGATTGAAAAAGTGATCAGTAGAAGGAATATTTATTAAGAGTAGCAATATGAGATACTCTTCGCATATTGCTAGTGTATAGTGGAAAATGGTACATCGTGGAAATAGTGGAAAATGATCAGCCGGGATTGAAAAAGTGATCAGTATAGAAGGAATATTTATTAAGAGTAGCAATATGCGATACTCTTCGCATCGAAAATTGCAACGAACGTCGCGGCCCAGACTTGCTTCGTGGATGCAGCTGCCGGTGGAGACCGCGTACAGTGTCTATGTGAGGGGTCCATCCACATTACTGTAATAGACTTTTTCTTCAATTCCGTCACTTTGCTCAGTGCTGGGTCTCCTGAATAAAATTATCGACCCTATTCTCCCACACTGAGCAGGTGAGCATATAAGCGTAGGGCAATATTTGTGTATATGTGTAGCTTAGGATAAAACTATATATGGATGTTGGCATTTATGTTGATAAAATTGAACTAAGTGAAGACAGATCAATATAGTTGCATGGATATTAATTTAGGCTTGTATCTTGAGCAGGTCAGATCATTAAGACTGAACCTTGTCCCACGAGTTCACTTATCCATTCATATTCTCTTACCTATTTATATTCACTTTGTACCATTATCAATTAAATTCCCTCGTATCCTGTCTACTTTAAGCCTGTAACGTTAACTGTAGTTTATAAATGCAACTTGCCTACTTGAATTTGATTTGCATACCCCCTAAATATAATTTTGAACCGACGTTCCCTGACAGTCTAAATAAAGGATGTTGAGCAAGGGGACATTTTAATGTTTCTGCAATTAGGGACGAATGGCCTTTATTTAAATATAGTTAATGAGTATAAAATGAAACCAATAAACAAATGCCGTCATCGTACTCAAGTAATCAGTTTCACAAGTTTTAATTTAAAATCTAGAAATTTTAATAAAATATGGGTACTGTGATAATGTTTATAATTTAAACAACTCAAGAAAATTATTTTGACAAAGCAAAATAAACAGAGTTTGGAAAGGCAAATATTCTATTCTATTCTATTCTATTCTATTCTATTCTATTCTATTCTATTCTATTCTATTCTATTCTATTCTATTCTATTCTATATGTTCAGCCAATAAGGCAATAAGTCCAGCAGCTATCTCAATCAATCGTCAATTACGAAAAGATCGGGTTCCAAAGGCCGGATCCCTTGTGAATCAAGTCACGAAAAGTTCAAGAATCGGCAACAGGCCATGGGCCTATTTCTTCAGTGCCGACACTTCTATTATATTCTATGAACAAGAATCGGCAACAGGCCATGGGCCTATTTCTTCAGTGCCGACACTTCTATTCTATTCTAATGAGACACAACACTTGCTGACGACCGTCATTTTGATGTGTTCGAACTGAATTTCACATACGGTATCAAAATCATAAATAAGTGAATTGCAAAAATGTGCAATTTTTTTCTATAAATTAAAGTGTTTTAAAGAATTATTTTCCGGCAAAAAAACTCTCGTGTCGTAAAAATATTGAACTTAACACTCAAAAAATATAAATAAAAAATATTTTATATATCGTACGTGACTTTCACTTCACACGAGACAAAAACAACTGCATTCGCGGCCGGAACTTGGCTGAGTATACGAGTTCTGCGTCGAAAGTTCATGTTTGACAAAGTATGATATGTGGTATAAGTTAAAAAGTTATTAATTTTAAGAACTTGTGAGTCCGCGAAACGAACACGGTGGCATCTTTTTGAGGTATATAATACGCTAGCATGAGAGATATCAAGTTTGTAAATTTGTGTGATATGTTTCCTTATTAAGACAATGTTCGCCTCTCAATCTGATCTATAAGATGAAACTCGACTCATTTGATCATTCTTATGTGTAGGTACTGATGCCGGGAGATAAGTTGTTATGTTAAATTTTTATTATATATAATTATTGATTTATGGTAAGAGGAGCAAATTTTTTATCCATTGATTATATTTGTTAATATGAATATTGTCTCCAAATTTATAGAAGAACTTGCATATATTTTCATTAGAGCTAATTGGATTTGAATGACAAATAAATGAATAATTATCGGTACAAAATATATATTTGCAAAATATTTAATCAATTAAACGAAAAAGTTTGCCAAAAAGTGCAGTTAACTGTTATCTTTTTAATCAGACAGCATTAGCATTAAATGTTGTTTGAACATACGAACTCTGCCACAGGATGTGAACCTGTAGACAATAGAATATAAATTGCAAAACATTTCATACAACTTCAAACTTTGAAGAGTTACTTTTTCAAGACAGTTATGTTTGAATGGCTGAGTTGCTTTTAACTTCCGGAACAGTTATCGAATTGATTAGTGTCATTGACCAACATAAACTAATCTCACCCTTAAATCTTAGGGATGGAAATTTTAAAAGCATATAAGTCATGATATACACAAAATAATTAGTACAAAAACTCAGTCAACTTTCCGGCTCATCATTAAGTTTGTTAGCGAAACTCACATGGACATAACCATGGATAATGGAGCCGTTTACTTACATATATTTACTATTATGGAGTCTTCTCGCACGTAAAATTTTTACTACCAAGAATGTTCGAATTATTAATCACAAAAATACAAACAAATATTCTCTTTTAAATTATGGTCATACTGGCACATAAGATATTTTAGAAACGCTTAAGTCTCTGCATTGCCGGCGGACATAAAACCTGAGCTCAAGTTGTGCGAGCTCACCGAACTTTCAGGTCAGAGATTCAATATCATGAAACTTGAGCTAAAGTTATGTGGCCTCACCGAACTCTTAGGTCAGGGATTCAATATCACAAAACTTAAACTCAATTTATTTGGGCTCATCGAACACTTAGGCCAGAGATTCAATATCATGAAACTTGAGTTCAGGTAATGTGGGCTCACTGAACTCTTAGGTCATGGATTCAACATCCTGCAACTTGAGCTCAAAATGTGTGGTCTCTCCAAACTGTCAGGTCAGAGATTCAATGTCATGAAGTATGAACTCAGGTTGTGTGGGCTCATTGAACTCTTACGTGAAGGATTCAATATCATGACGCTTGAGCTCAATTTATGTGGGTTCACCGAACTCTTAGCTCAGGGATTTAATATCAAGAAACTAGACCTCAAGTTACGCGGGCTCACCGAACTCTCAGGTCAGAGATTAAATATCATGAAACTTGAGCTCAAGTTATGTGAGCTCACCGAGTTCTCAGGTCAGAGATTCAATATCAGGAAAGTAGACCTCAAGTTACGCGGGCTCACCGAACTCGCAGGTCAGAGATTTAATATCATGAAACTTGAGCTCGAGCTATGTTCGCTCACCGAACTCTCAGGTTAGATATTCAATATCATGAAACTTGAGCTCAAGTTATGACGGATCACCGAACTTTCAGGTCAGAGATTCAATAACACGAAACTTGAGTTCAAGTTAAGAGGGCTCACTGAACTCATGAGTCAGGGATTCAATATCCCGAAACATGAGCTCAAGTTATGTGGGTTCACCGAACTCTCAGGTCAGATATTCAATATCATGAAACTGGAGCTTGAGCTATGTTCGCTCACTGAACTCTCAGATTTTATATTCAATATCCGAAACTTGAGCTCAAGTTCTGAGGGCACACTGATCTTTTGGGTCAGAGATTCAATAGCACGAACTTGAGCTCAATTTACGTGAGCTCACCGAACTCTCAGATCGGAGATTCAATATCTGAAGCTTGAGGTCAAGTTCAGTGGGCTCACTGATCTCCTGGGTCAGGGATTCAACATTAACATCATGAAACTTGAGCTCAAGTTATGTGGGCTCTCCGAACTTTTAGCTGAGGGATTCAATAAAATGAAACTTGAGCTCCAGTTATGAGAGCTCACCGAACTCTTGGGTCTGGGATTCAATATCATGAAGCCTGAGCTCAAGTTATGTGGGCTCACGGAACCCTTAGGTCAGAGATTGAATATCATGAGACTTGAGCTCAATTTACGTGAACTCCACCGAACTCTCAGGTCGGAGATTCAACATCCAAAACTTGAGTTAAAGTTCTATGGGCACACTGATTTTCTGGGTCAGGGATTCAACATCATGAAACATGAGCTCAAGTTATGTGCGCTCACCGAACTCTCAGATCAGAGATTCAATCTCATGAAACTTGAGCTCGAGCTAAGTTCGCTCTCGAACTCTCAGGTTAGATATTCAATACCCGGAACTTGAATTCAAGTTCTGTGAGCTCACTGATCTCCTGGGTCAGGGATTCAACATATAAACATCATGAGACTTGAGTTCAAGTTATGTGGGCTCATTGAACTCTTAGCTCAGGGATTCAATATCATGAAACTTGTATATATACAAGTATTCATGAAACTTGTATATACTGAAGTTTTATAAATATAAATCACATATGTAGAGCAATCATTTCTCAGTTTTACTATTTGAAAAGCATTAAATCTGTAAAATGAATAGAATTATATCATACAAAAATCGTGACTTATTAACTTAATACTTGCCGTG